TATAAATGTATATATAAAATATATAAAAAATATATATGTAAATATAATAATATAATAATATATAAAAATATATATGTAAATATATATAAATATAAAAAAAACTAAAGTATATGCGGTAAATACTATATTTAATTATTTGTAATTATTTTTATTTATTTGTCACATGACATTTGTACACCATTCACATTCATATATTTTTTAGTCTCACCTGTTCAATACCTGGCAGTGGCACATTTCCCAGCATCCGTCTCTCACAGACCAGTGGTTTCCTCTTGTGTAACTGTATAACGGAGTGAATGTTGTTATACGGTGGTGGTACAGCTGCCATGTTCCCCAACAGGAAGGAGACAGTTGACCACATTTAACTGTAGACGAGTTTCAACCCTGTAAATGGGAGAAGGTTGTTTTCAAATCAGGAGAATACAGTTAGTACCAGGAACAAACCAGACGCGCTCTGCTACAGCGTTACTACAAAGTTCACATCAACCACATTTTTTTTTTTCTTTCTCAGGTTTTAGTGGTAAAAACTGCAACTATAACATCGATGACTGTCCCAACCACGAGTGCCAAAATGGAGGTACATGTGTGGATGGAGTCAACACCTACAACTGCCAGTGTAAACCAGAGTTCACAGGTGAGATTAGTCCTGTTTCAGTTCTCCAGTCGATCATTTCTGTGTCTATTACCATGCAACTGTAAAAACAAACTGTAAATGTACAAGTTAAAGAAGCAGCTTAAAAAGTTTACTAGAAGTTACTAAAAGATCTGAGAATGCTAACATTACTCTGCTTTATTAGAAACTACAAAAAAATTGGCTCAGATAACAGGGAACTATTGACAATTAAAATAATTTGTATGGCTACGTCCACCCTACAAGAACTCTGTGTACCCAGGGTGTCCTGCTCCTTACTTTGGGAACCACTAACTTTACCATATAAATATAAAACCTTGGCTTTTAAATTCTGATGAGGATATAAAAATGTTCTTGTAATCAGTCAATCAATTGGTGTTTTAATTATTAACTAATTATTATAATATAATAATTATTATATTACATTACATTACATTATATTATATTATATTATATTATATTATATTATATTATATTATATTATATTATATTATATTATATTATATTATATTATATTATATTATATTATATTATATTATATTATATTATATTATATTATATTATATTATATTATATTATATTATATTATATTATATTATATTATATTATATTATATTATATTATATTATATCCTCCCCCCGTTGTCATCTCCCGTCACAGGTCAGCTCTGCACAGAGGACGTGGACGAGTGCCAATTGATGCCCAACGCCTGTCAAAACGGTGGGACGTGCCACAACAGCTACGGCAGCTACCAGTGTGTGTGCGTCAACGGTTGGACCGGCGACGATTGCAGCGAGAACATCGACGACTGCGCCAGCGCTGCATGCCACACCGGGTCCACGTGTCACGACCGCGTCGCCTCGTTCTTTTGCGAGTGTCCCATTGGCCGCACAGGTTCGTCATTTTTTAAAAAAAGGAATCAGGGGTTCCACCGCAAACGCTTTTGTAGATCAACAAGCAATGAGGGAAGGATGTTTTTAATTATGTCTGAGGATAAAGAAGTAACAAGTCTGAAAGAGGCGCTAAATTAAAGGCTGTGAAGTCACAGATCTTTGGTTCTGCCTGAGGTTTCTGAGTCTTTGGTTTCTGTTTTTTTGGTTCAGAGTTCAGAGACATTTTTTTTAGTTTAGTCAAGGTCATTATGTGTGGTTAACTCCTCCATGTTCTCCCTCCAGGTCTGCTGTGTCAGCTGAAAGATGCCTGCATCAGTAACCCCTGTCAAAAAGGCGCCAACTGTGACACCAACCCTGTCAATGGAAACCATTTTTGCACCTGCCCCTCTGGATACTTCGGGGCTTCCTGTGATCAGGATGTTGATGAGTGTGCACTGGGTAAATATTACACACATTAGTGTGATGACGAAAAAAAAAAAACTCTCCTCTTGTTGTTGTTCTTTGCTGTAGCAGTTTTAGGCCCATCTTTAATGCCAATGTCAGGCTCAACAACAATCATTCCATTAATCCATTAATTATTGGATGTTTGAATAAATCTGTTAATGTGTCAATAATCAGTTGTGCAGTTAATGTAGATACATGTACATAAGGTGTCAAACCTGAGGCTCGCAGGCTGAATAAAGCCCAACACGTTCTGCAAAAAAATGCAATGGGCAAATACACTGTGCGTAATAAATGGCATAGCTAGCAATGTCCAATGTCTGGGTGACTGAGTTTGACCCCCCCTCCCCCTCCCCCGGCCCCCATAAGACTTAGCTTCTCACATTATCCTGGTTGAAGGTCACAATGGTCTCTGTCTTCCAGGTCCCAACCCCTGTGAACACGGGGGCAAGTGTATCAACACCAAGGGTTCGTTCCAGTGCAAGTGCCTGCAGGGCTACGTGGGCCCGCGGTGCGAACTGGACATCAATGAGTGCATGTCCAACCCCTGCATGAACGAAGCCACCTGTCTGGACCAGATCGGAGGGTTCCGCTGCATCTGCATGCCAGGTGAGGTGTTCGAGTCCGAGGGTTGTGGATTTGTCATTAGTCAGAATCAGAGTTTGGATAATAGTTTATTTTTAATTTACCTTTCAAGTAGATTTTTTTGCAGTTCAATTAAAATTAAAGCCATATATCTATGAATAAAAGGAGCATTTGGTTTACAACACAATATATGTATAAATATATTTATATTATAACATATAAAAAACAGAGCAGCCTTCTGTTTTACTTCCCAGTATTTAAAGCTAAAAATTAATTAAGCTGTTCAGCCTCTCGCTTTGACTCCCCACTGTACTCACCCCTCGCTCCCCCCCTTTTTTCTCCTCCTCCCTTGCTAATTGGCCAGGCTACGAGGGGGAGTTCTGCCAAATCGATACGGACGAGTGCGCCAACAACCCCTGCGTGAACAACGGCAGGGGGATCGACAAGATCAACTCCGACTGCCAGTGCCCCACAGGTGAGGTGGGGGAATGGAGGGATGGGGAGGGGGTTGAGGAGGGAGAGAAGGAAGGAATGCACACAAATACACACTTGCACACAAAAAAAAACCATCTCTCTGGACAGGCACTAATCCCAGCCCTGAGGCAGGCTTACGCAGACCCGAGTAGTCCAGAATGAACACAGCAGTGGAGGCGGAGAGGGAAAAACAGAATCTATAGGGAAAGGCTTGAGGAAGTTTGAAGTTTTAAAAAAAAAAAGAAAAAAAAAACTTTCTTATCCAACGAGGTCTGATGAGTGAGCAGAAACTTTTGATAGTGGCTGAGGAGAAGGGAGAGCTAATATTAGCAGTCAGAGAGTGCCAAATTACAGGAGTACACTTTCTGTGCTACTGCAGTAACCGAGTTTTCTTGCATGTCTGTCAGAGAGAAGTGTTGATGTTTTGTTCAGGGATGAAGGAATGCAACAAAAAAAAAAGAAGTGAGTTGTCATTCATTGATTGAGCAGGATCGTTGACATGGAAGTAATTTTTTTTGGGAAGAAAAATAATGACGCTTTGAGTCTGGCGGATCAAAGACGACCTGGGTGGAGACCGAGGCAGAAGTTCTCCTGTTGAGATTAAAAGAGAGGAACAGAGAGAAAAAATGGGAGAAAAGAAGAGAAAGGCATCCCGACGTGGGAGTTTCAGAATGAAAAAAGGGGGGCGGGGGTGTCTACAAGATTGAACACAAGAGTTTAACACCATCCAATACTCCGTGTGACATGGAGAGGAAGTAACGCAGCACGGTCGTAATGAAAAGTGCTGTTTTTTCCGGGAGGGGGTCTGGATGGAGGGGGTTTCGGTGGTTGAGTTGCACAGACCGTTATGCTGCAGCAGAAAGAGAGGGAGTGAGGGAGGGGTGTGAAAGTCTCTGCTTCAGATGTAAATTTGTTCCTGGTGCGAGCCAGGCCCGAGGCGAGGGTCCACCTCTTTCATTTTCGTACACGAAATAGACATTGAAACCCCGCTGTGAGCTGCTGAAATGTCTGATGACAGAGGTCTGGGTTCAAATTCCCTTCATGTTCACTAAGGTGATGGTGGCCAGAGTGAATCCTTACCGTGTCCAGCAGGTTTCTTAGCATGTGTATTTGAAGTTCTACTACTTTTCCCTCTGTGTTCGTGTAAAACTTGTCATGTCGTGTCACATAGTTGTCGCATCGTTGAGTTTCCCTAAAGAAGATGAGTTTGTTTGAGAAATCCCCGCCTCCTCACTTCCCTACTTTCCTGCTAGATTAGCCCTCAGCCTCCGCCCGTCTCTCTCCGTGGCGTGGTGCCGTAGGGGAAGTGGGAATTTTATGGCTTTTTCAGACAACACTCCCGTGGCCTTTGGACTGTACCATCCTTGGAAAAAATGGGGAGATGGAGGGAAAACTATGTGATGAGTAGAAAAGGAAAGAAAGAGAGCCCGCTGGTTGGTTTTGAAGGACAGGCAGCTTGAATAGCACAGGGGCAAAGGTCAAGCTGGCTCTTTGTAAGCGCAGGCAGAGGTTGAAGGGAGGGTGAGTCGGTGGAGTGAGGGTGAGAGCAAGACAGGAGAATGCACATTGTGATGGAAAAGTTTCGGGGGACAAAGAGGGCAACGGGCTACGTTTGGCTCGGGTGAGGCACTACACGCACAGGAGCTCCTTTGTCTCTCCCAGCCCTTGGTCAGGAGGCCTTGCAACTTTCTTTTTTTTTCTCCCCCCTTTTCCTCCCGCTTTGTACTCTCTACCCCACTCCCCTTCTTACTCTCCCTTCTCCTTTTGGAGTGATACAGAAAAGAAGAGGGAGCTTATAGTGTTTTGCTCTCGTTAAAAAAAAGGCAGATTTTTTTTTTTTTTGTCCTCGTGTCCTTGAGAAGTTTTTTTTTTTTCCAGGATTATAAGCGGGAAGAATTTGAAACAGTAACAACACAGTAGCCTTGTATGCACACACATGCACACACACGCACACTTTCATGCATTCACACAGTAAGACCCCTCTTGTTTTTCCAGGCTTCTCTGGGACCCTCTGCCAGATAGACATCGACGAGTGCGCCAGCACGCCGTGCAAAAATGGCGCCAAATGCACAGACGGGCCTAACAAATACACCTGCGAGTGCACCGAAGGTAGAATGGATTTTATTTTTAATAAATATATTTAAATATATATTTTTTACATGTATTTAAATATATATTTACATATATATTTATATATATTATAATAAATATATATTTTCAAAATAAAGCATCCTGCCTCCTAAATATGTCTGTTGCAGAGACCGCCTGACCTAAATGAACCCAATCTGTTACAGGTTACAGCGGCAGACACTGTGACACCGACATCAACGAGTGTTACTCCGACCCCTGCCACTACGGCACTTGCGTCGACGGCCTGGCCTCCTTCAGCTGCTACTGTAACCCGGGCTACACCGGGCGGCTGTGTGAAACCAACATCAACGAGTGCCTGAGCCAACCGTGCAGGAACGGCGGCACCTGCCAGGACCAGGAGAACACCTATATGTGCAGCTGTCCTAAGGGAACCACAGGTTGAGAACCTCACACCTTTAATAGGAAAACTGAGTTTGTGTGTGTTTGTTATTTTAGTTTATTGAGATGATTTTTTTTTTCTTTTCTGTATTTTTTTTTTCCAGGAGTGAACTGTGAAATCAACATTGACGACTGTAAGAGCAACGCCTGTGACTACGGGACGTGTATCGACAAAATTGACGGCTACGAGTGCGCCTGTAAACCAGGCTACACCGGTAAGAATTTTTAGATCTGGGGTCACCAGACTTTTCGAAACTGAGAGCTACTTCTAGGGTACTGAGGAAAAAAATGGAGTAGTGTTCTGTTTATAGTCTACTGACTAGAGTACAGTACAACCACTGTGTGTATTTAAATGACTCCTCCTACGGATCTTTAGTTTTATGTAGTTTTACCTCAAAGCTAACCCTGTGTACTCGGCACACAGCCTCAGAGTTTTGTGTTGAAAATGTGCACGTGAGTTAAACCACAGGTTGTTTTCCTTGTATCTTAGGTCACTTGAGTTTGGAATCGCATTTGGTTTTTAAACACACTCCACTTTGTCTATCTAAATCAGGGGTGTCAAACATGCTGCCCGCGAGCCAAAACCGGCCCACTTGGGGTTTCAATCCGGCCCGCTTGATGAACTTTGAAAATAAGAAAAAAAGAATACACAAACACTTGTAAAATTGTATTTCATTAAATATAAGGATTTATCAAAGTACTTTTTTGCATGAAAAACTATAACGTAATTATGTTATGATTGTACTGGTCCGGCCCGCTTGACATCTAATTAGGTTGTATGCGGCCCATGAACAAATAGAGTTTGACAACCTCTGTTCAAAATTATATTATTTTGATTCTTATTTACTTCCCATGCTGTAAATCATTGTTTCCCAAAGACTGGGTCACGACCCTCAGGTGGGTCGCAAGAGGGTTTTTTTGGGTCGTTTCCCAGGAGTTTACGAATAATGTCTATTGACTTGGGTTGTGAAGGTTTGTGACTTTTAAAATATGGGTCCACAGAAAAAAAGTTGGTGGAGCTAGTAAACGGTGTAGCTAACTCAGGCGAAGTTGATGCGACAGCTTTCTCTGGTGACCAGGACTGGAGGTTCTGCACTTTTGTACTGGGGGAGTGAGGTCCGTAGTGTGGGAGTGTGACAGATGGTGAGCGAGCAAGGGAGCACACTCCTCCGAGACTGGAGTGTCACCTTCCAGCTCCACCCTGTCCCCCCAACCTGCTGCTGTTAGGACATGCAAGCTGCCCTGACGCACAAAGAGGCGACACACACACACAGAGCCACTCCAGTCACCAGAGATTAGAGCAGGAAAAAAGATTTTCTGAAAGATTCCTGAAAGTTGAGCTTTTAAAAGCATGAAGCCGGCCGCTGTTTTAAAGCTTTTATTAAATGTGTGGCACCGGGCTGAATGGCGTCAAGGCCTCAAGTGGCCGGCAGCGGGTCTTTAAACCCCTCATGTTTCTGGAAGGTGATACACTCGCTGCTTTAGACTCTATTGTGTGGCGGCAGAGTTTGTAGTTGTTTGAATTCATTGTCAGTGTGTGTGTTTTGTTTTTTGTTTTTTTTTTATACGAAAAGTAAGTACCTTCTTGTTGTTCCAGACAGTTTTACACATCATCATTAAAATTTGGCTTCCTCCCTGTTCTCCCAGGAACCATGTGTAACATCAACATCAACGAGTGCGCCATTAACCCCTGCCACAACGGCGGCACCTGCATCGACGGCATCAACAGTTTCGTCTGCGTGTGTCCCGAAGGTTATCATGACACCACGTGCTTCTCGCAAGTCAACGAATGTCTCAGCAACCCCTGCATCCACGGCCGTTGTGAAGACAAGGTCAACGGGTGAGAACCCTCGAGAAACAGATGACAAAATCGAAACGATCAAACGACCTGGCTGTTGATGTCATCTCACCAAGAAGCAGACAAAAATCTTCAAATATCCAAACTTTTAATCGTGTTTTTTTTTCTGTTTTTAGCTACAAATGTCTGTGCAAACCAGGCTGGATCGGCAAGAACTGCGACGTCAACAACAATGAGTGCGAGTCCAACCCGTGCATGAACGGAGGCACCTGTAAGGACATGACCGACGGATTTCTTTGCACCTGTCACTCAGGCTTCACGGGTCAGTACGAGTGGGTGTGTGTCTGACATCTAAACCCCACTTGACCTTCTACTTAAACTAACCCAAGTGTGTAATCTTCGCCCCTCCCCCACTTTAACCACAGGACCATACTGCCAGACCAACATTAACGAGTGTGGCTCCAACCCCTGCCTCAACCAGGGGACGTGCATGGACGATGTCGCCGGCTACAAGTGCAACTGCGTCCTGCCTTACACGGGTGAGCAAATATTATTGGAAACGGTTGATACATCTCGTGTTCTCGCCTGGTATTCGTCTACTTCCGTTTCCAGAGCCCCCCGGGGGTAGAGACGTGTGTGCGATGAAGTAACGCTGGAGTAAAGTTCAGCAGCAAGACTTCCTCTATGTTTAAAGACACCATAGTAGAGATCTGGGAAATATTTCCATCAAAATGGAAAGGCTATGGGGACATTTTCACTTATTTTGCAAGTCATCCTTTTTGGAAAAATCCACAGGAGTTGGAATAATAACAGGCCTCTGCTTGTGCCTGGGTGGGAATGGGCCGCTTGACACATTTCCTGTTTGCCTTGCTTCCTGTCTCACAGTAAAGCAAAGACTTCACAATGGCCGGAAACCAGCTCCGGCTTCCTGAATTAGGTTTGCGCTGTGGAAACAGATAGGGAAACGTCCGCACAGGCCCCGTAACACTAACAGAACCTGGTTCAAATCTTCAGATAGCACTGACTGGTGGATGATTCTTTGTCCGTTTGGATTGGTGTTATCTCCTGGTCTATGACTCACACATGAAGTATCACATCGTGCTGTACCGTGTGGTGATTATTTGTTTGTCTTGCACAGGGGAGAACTGTGAAACCCTGATGGCACCATGTAGCTCCAGACCCTGTAAACATGGAGGAGTGTGTCAGGAGTCAGAAGATTATCTGAGCTTCTCCTGTGTTTGTCCCGAAGGATGGCAAGGTGAGTATTAGTGTTGGCCCAAGTAGGGAATGTCACAACTAGAAAAAAGTCTGAATCCTCTTCTGTATACACATGGGCAGGATGACAAACATGGAATATCCAATAATTCCACTGTCCTCACACTAATAGTTGCTCTAATACACAAATAAAAACAAGCATGAAACAAAATCTACCTGCTTTTATTTATTTATTTTTATATTGTTGCATTGTATTTGCATTATTATATTGTTTTTTGTTGTTTTTCCAGATTTACCCTTTGATTCAGATCACATTTTAAAATAGTTAAAAAATACATTCAAATATATTTGTAAATACATATGTATACGTGTATATATGTGCATATTTATATATTTTTCCGCCTCTATGTTTGTCTATATGTGCATATATGTATGAATGCATTTGTTTGTCGTGTATAATTAATCACGACGTCTCACAGTTAATTGTGATTAATCTACATCTACCTCACGATTAATTAATCCAAGAACCCCGTAGTGTCGTCACAAGGGCTTCAGGTCCATGGCTTGAAATGAAATTGAACAAAACTTTTTCTGTCATCCTTTAGGACAAACCTGTGAGGTGGACATTAAAGAGTGCGTGAAGAACCCCTGTCTGAATGGAGCGACCTGCCAGAACACTCTGGGCAGTTATCACTGCGACTGCAAACCGGGCTTCAGTGGACGCAACTGTGAGACCGACGTGGACGACTGCAAGCCCAGTGAGTTTTCCCAAATTCTATTTTCTGCAGCAGGGCAGTAAAGACGTGGAAAGCCACACATTACTGACCCGTGAGTCTTTCCCTCCTCTCTCTCTCTCTCTCTCTCTCTCTCTCTCTCTCTCTCCTTCTCCCTCCAGATCCCTGCAGCAACGGAGGCCAGTGCAAGGACGAGGTGAACGGGTTCCTGTGTACGTGCCTGCCGGGCTTCAGGGGGACGAGGTGTGACGAGGACATCAACGAGTGCGAGAGCAACCCGTGCAAGAACGGAGCTAACTGCACCGACTGTGTCAACAGCTACACCTGCACCTGCCCACCTGGCTTCAGTGGCATCCACTGTGAGAACAACACTCCCGACTGCACGGAGAGGTGAGGCGCTGGGAGAAGCGGGAGGGAGACACAGGGAACATGCACGCTCCGATCACACACACTAACGAGATTGTTTCAGTTAAAACGTCTGTGCTGTTCAACAGGTTCACTTTTCATCTTCATTGTGTAGAAATATTTTCTTGTTCTCTACTGCCCCCTCTGGTAGAATGCTGGTAGTCTACAGCCGATTTTGACTGCAGAAATGTATAAAGCAGCAGAAACGAATGTACCTTAAATGAATAATTTTGCATTTGGAGACTTTATTCTTAAAATGCCATTTTTTTCCCCCGCAGCTCCTGCTTTAACGGTGGCACCTGTGTGGACGGCATCGACACCTTCACGTGTCTGTGCCCGCCCGGCTTCACAGGGAGCTACTGTCAGCACGACATCAATGAGTGTGACTCCAAACCCTGCATGAATGGAGGGACCTGCCACGACAGCTACGGCGCATACAAGTGCACCTGCCCCCATGGTTACACTGGACTCAACTGTCAGGTACGGTACACTGAGCGAGAATCTATTTGTGGGCCACAACAATGTTAACACGGTTTAGTAAAATGTCTCTTCTTTGCCGCCCCAACACTTCTCAGAACCTGGTGCATTGGTGCGACTCGCTGCCCTGTAAGAATGGTGGAACGTGCTGGCAGAGAGGAACCACCTACAGCTGTGAATGTGAGACCGGCTGGACCGGCCTCTACTGCGACGTGCCGAGTGTTTCCTGTGAGGTGGCAGCTAAACAGAGGGGTAAGCTGGAGGCACACAGATTTAAAAAAAGAAAAAAGCAGAGATGTCCAACATTAAGCCTGACGTAGCTCATAACCAACATTCGTAGCTCTGTTTTTCAGCCTTGGGGTCGTGACCCCATCTAGGGTCTCTTGGAATTTTAAGTGTGGTCGCTTAAAATGTCTAGTAATTATTTTTTTAAAAATGCTCCTTTCAGTGTCATGAATATAAATCCAATTCAAACAAAATGCATCATCTAAAAATATCTGAGCTGGCACATCTTGATTGACAGCTTGTCAATCATGTGACTGCACAACTAAACAGCTGAAGCTACTGCACTGTACTGTTAACACCAATAATAAGTGTTGCTCCTTCTCTATACGCAGGCGTGGATGTCGCCCATCTCTGTCGTAACTCGGGTCAATGTTTGGACGCAGGTAACGTTCACTACTGCCACTGCCAGATAGGATATACCGGAAGCTACTGCGAGGAGCAGGTGGATGAATGCACCCCCAACCCCTGTCAGAACGGCGCCACCTGCACTGACTTCTTAGGAGGATACACCTGCAAGGTAATACTGTAAACTAAAGCTGAACACTGATTTTGCTGTAAAGACTGAATTCTGGCATTAGGTAAGCGAGACTCTTTTAGTCAAGCCCCTGCTGGTCATTCGTGGTACTGCCCCCGAAAGCCTAGGTACTGTAACTAAGCACAGTGTTTCCCAACCTTTTTTCAGCCACGGCACATATATATCCTCAGGAAAAACCCCACGGCACAACACCATACAAAAATCTCACATAAAGTGTATGTAGAGAAATATAATAGTATTCCACTTTAAATTGACTAAAAATGTACTCCTGTTTAGTTGAAGAAAACACTGATATACTGACAGGAATTGAAGAAAGACACTCATAAAGATCAGCTCTGATTACTTTATCTTTTTTAGTTTTAATAACCATCTGCTGCCACCTAGTGGAAGAGGATTTATTTGCTCTGCTTGCCATGCATTGACGAACAAAGAAAAATAAAATTGCAATAAATAAGTGATAGTTTTGTGACCAATTAAGTGTGATAATGATCACACTTAAAGTAAGTGTGTAATTACTTAAAGTAAGTAATGATCTCTCACGGCACACTAGTGGACCACGGCACAGTGGTTGGGAATCACCGGCTTAGCAGATGCAACTCAAAGAAGTTGTTGATTAAACAACCGTTCAGTCTTAATGAAGAGCCCTGTTTATCACATGAAAAAAAAAGGCCTGGTTATGTTAATCTCCCAGAACCGCTGGCCTCGGCAGAACAGAGGCCTGAAAACAGCCAGGTAAACAAAAAAACACTGTTGTTTCATGTCATTGATTTAACATTCCTCTGCCTCCTCCTTCATCTTCGTCTTCCTCCTTCTTTCAGTGCATGCCAGGCTTTGTGGGGACCAACTGCTCCAAGGAGATCAATGAGTGTTTCTCTCAGCCGTGCCAGAATGGGGGTACCTGTATTGACCTGATCAATACCTACAAATGCTCCTGTCCCCGCGGAACCCAAGGTCAGCAAAACCCACACACAGCGCCGCCTAAACTGTCAACAGTGTCTGAAAACTTACTGTCTTTTCATTAAATATACTATAGTTTTCTTTTTCCCCAGACGAGATGAATTTAACTGATTTTGTCCAAACTGACAAATTATAGGTGCATTACTGCCCCCTGCTGGGCTGGAGTGTGTGCATTAATCTCTTATTCACTTTTATAATAAAAAAAAAAAAATCAATTGTTTGTTTTGTTGGGCAAAGTACCAGCAGCTCTGCTTTGACCACCTTTTGACCAAAGAAAAGTCCAGATCTGACGCCTCCCCCGTCCCCCTCCCCTCCTCAGGAGTTCACTGCGAGATAAACATCGATGACTGCAACCCCTTCACTGACCCCATCACCAAAGAGCCAAAGTGCTTCAATAAAGGCAAGTGTGTGGACGGAGTCGGGGGCTACCACTGCACCTGCCCACCGGGCTACGTGGGAGAGCGCTGCGAGGGTGACGTCAACGAGTGCCTGTCCAACCCTTGTGACCCGCGCGGTACGCTCAGCTGCATCCAGCTAGCCAACAACTACCGCTGCGAGTGTCGCACCGGATACACAGGTACTGAAATACTGACATATTTTTTCACATATATTTATTCCACTGACTCTTGGTTTAGCATCTGTAATTAATTCCAAAAAAATCAAAATATATTTATTTTGATTTATAAAAATACATTTGTCCAAACTGACATTCCTGTCATATATCAGCCGTACATACCAATATGCTTTACAATAGTGGTTCTCAAACCATGGTGCCTGTAATCAAACCATGGTGGCACATGTGCTCCCTCTAGTGGTACAATAGGGAATTGATTTATTTATCATTCAGATGTATTAGTGAGTTTTAATGACATGTAGTATAGAGTATATAGAATATTTTGGTGGGGGTACGTGGTGTACTTAGTTTGAGAACCACTCTTCTCAAAAGTTTTGTCTTAGACTCTCTTAAAGAAACATCGATACACGCACATCTAAGGTGCTATCTTTGAATGACTCCCTCACCACAGGTCAACGCTGCGACACTGTGTTCGATGGCTGTAAGGGCAGACCTTGTAGGAACGGTGGAACCTGCGCTGTGGCCAGTAACACGCCCCACGGTTTTGTCTGCAAATGTCCTCCTGTGAGTGGCACACACACACATCAATATAGTGATTTTACTTTGTACCCCTTAAAGAGACCTCAGGTCTAATGATTCTACTTCTCGTAGGGCTTCACCGGCTCCAGCTGCGAGTACGACGCCCAGGCCTGTGGCACACTGCACTGTCACAATGGGGGCACCTGCATCTCCGGCCACAAGACTCCCAAATGTCTGTGCACGCCGTCGTTCACCGGGCCCGAATGCAATTACCCCACCAACAGCCCCTGTAACTCAGACCCCTGCTACAACGGCGGCACCTGCGAGTACACCACCGAGGCACCATTCTACCACTGCGTCTGCCCCACCAACTTCAACGGCCTCCGCTGCCACATCCTGGACTACGGCTTCCAGGGAGGGTTTGGCCACAACATCACGCCCGCCCCAGACCTGGAGGTGGAATGTCTGATCCCTCAGTGCAAGACGCACAAGGACAACAACCGCTGCGACGAGATGTGCAACAACCACGAGTGCGGCTGGGACAATGGCGACTGTTCGCTGAACTTCAACGACCCGTGGAAGAACTGCTCCGCCTCGCTGCAGTGTTGGCGCTACTTCAACAACGGAGTGTGTGACCTTCAGTGTGACAATGCTGGGTGTCTCTACGACGGCTTTGACTGCGAAAATTTGGAAGGACAGTGCAAGTAAGTAAAGGGACAGTTTCCTAAAATGTTGTAAAAAGATTGTAGCTTGTCGCAGTAGCAACTTTAGAGTTAAAGTAATTAAGTAGCTGTAGCTACTTACAGTAGCAACCATACAACTTCTAGAAACATCATTCTGTCCCCCAGCCTCCCTCCCCTCTTGGGTCACCCCTGGATCAGAGGACATTTTGTATACCGAATCTGCAACGGTTACGCTAAACTGTGGGCCAAACAGGGTAAACGTTCAGTATCATCACCGTGACGTGGGTCACAAAAACTAAGACAATATGCATGATGAGTTCCACTGGACCACAAAATGATGTGGCGGACCACATTTGGTCCACGGGCCTTGAGTTTGACACGTGAACTAAATTGTAATTTCTTTATTAAAACACCTCGTTCCTCTGCCTTTTTTTTCTCTCCAGCCCTCTGTACGACCAGTACTGCAAGGACCACTACGCCGACGGCCACTGCGACCAGGGCTGCAACAATGCCGAGTGTGAGTGGGACGGCCTGGACTGTGCCAACAATATGCCTGAGAACCTGGCGGTGGGTCAGCTGGTGCTGGTGGTCCACATTACGCCCGATCAGCTCCTGACCAACTCCTCCACCTTCCTGCGCGAGCTGAGCCGCGTCCTTCGCACCAACGTGGTGTTCAGGAAGAGCACCAAAGGCGAGGTGATGGTGTATCCCTACTACGGCAACGAACAGGAGTTGAGGAAGTACAACGTGAAGCGCTCGGTGGACACGTGGTCCGAGGTTCCCGGTCGCGTTCTGAACGTGGTGAAGAGGAGTCTCACCGATGCGGTGGCAATGAGACGAAAGAGGGAGCTGGACCACCTGCAGATTAAAGGGTGAGGGGGTTTTTCCTTCGGCAGACTTTACATTTGTTTTGGTTCCGATGTCGCTCAACGTCGTATGTTGTCCCCTTTGCCAAACCTTCAGTTCGATCGTCTACTTGGAGGTGGACAACCGTCAGTGTTTCCAGCAGTCCACTGAATGTTTCCAGAGCACCACTGACGCTGCAGCCTTCCTGGGAGCTTTGGCCTCCAGTGGAAAACTGGACGTTCCATACAGCATCAAAGCTGTGTTTAGTAAGTATTTGATTAAAAAAAATGGATATAAGCCATCAAATTGCATGAAAAGGAACTGTGTTTTTACTTAATGTTAAGTTTAAGTTCAGCAAAGTCATCTGGTTCAGCAAGGTTACATCGAGCTGACATACATGAAAATTTTAGCTAAATGATGTTAATTCAAGCTAATTTAAGTCAAGTTACATTAATTTAGGGTTGGTAGAGTTAAGTTTAACTAGGTTACGTTAAGCTAAGCTAGGCTACACAAGGTAAACTTAAGCCAAGTATGTTAGTTTAGGCCTATTAAGGTAAAGTAAAGTAAGTAAAGTCTTAACTTCTCTTCAGAGTTGAGTTTAGTTAAGTTGCGCAGAGTTAGGTGAGTTATGTTGTTTGGTTAGACTAGGGTAGGCTAGGTTAATTTAGCTTAGCTTCTATGTTCTGCTTAGCTTGGCCTAAAATAGCCAGATTCAGAAGAACATAGAATGACCAATGATTTAATAATTTGATCAATTAATAAAAATAACCTTAAGTTAGTCAATTAAAAATATAATTACATTTTATATATTTTAAACAGAAACAAGGAAATAATAGTGTATCTTAGTCAAAATTACTAAAAACTGTAGTAAGTATATCATTTGTTGTTTTATACTCATACATTGGCTGTTCTTTTTTGTGGAATATTTTAAATTTATATTATATTATATTGGTATATTTTAAAGTTCTACTTGTCTGAGACCTAAAGAAATTTCTGAAAATGAATTTCTGAAATGTTTTTTATGTTATTTTCATCAGTATTGATGTAAAAAAAAAAAACCCAGCTCAAACAGACACAACATCTGATTGGTTAATACAGGAACGGATTGGACGCGTGCTTTTTCACACTCTACCGCGCCCTCTGGTTGGGTCCCGGCCCTGCTGCTGCTCTTTGATTGTATATTTGTTATGCAGAAGTGAACAAATGCAACTGTGAATCTCATGGCCTAAACAATCAATCATCCCGCGCTGGTGTAAATCCATCGGCTTCGGGCTCCAAAATAGTTAATTGCTGCAAATCAACTTGTCCAATCCCTAACTCACACATTCTCTAACTCTCTCTGTGTCTGTCTTCCTCTCTTTGTCAGACACACGTCCACACACACACACACTTCATCCCACAATGTGAGGTGCTGCTGCAACCTTCACCTCTCTCAATGTAATACCAGGACTTAATGCATCTCTGAGGGTTTAGGTTGGGGGTGGGGTGGGGGGAGTTTATCATTTCAAAATCGTTAGTGGAAAAAAAAAAAGGAGGAGGGGGAAAAATTGATCGGGAGTGTGCTAGAAGTTGGGAGTCTTTGTTATCTCGAAAATCCTAATAAATCCTTCGTCTTTACAGCTTAAAGCGCGTGCAGTAATTTGAAGTTCATTAATCCCCCCCCTCCTTTTTTTTTTTTTTCGTCAAGAAGAAATGGTAAAGTTGTCTCCTGGTACCCTAGGTTGAAAAGGGAGAAAGGAGGTAGTGATGTTCTCCTTTCCCCTTCTTTATCAATCCCCCCCTTTTCCTTTTTTTTTTTTTTACTGAAAAGTGGTTAGCCATTCTGATTATTACCGGATAGGTAGTAGAAGCTAGTTCTCCCGTCAGTAAGGATCGCCAATCACTCGGCTGCTGGTTGAGAGGCAAAGACCGGACGGACTAGCGGCGTTCCAACACTCGGGGCTGATCCTGGAATGTCCATGTGTACCTCCCGGCCCCCGCCCCACTGCTTGGCGTGACTATGTTTTACTATTTTCCTCCAGGTGTGGACCAGAAGCAGTCATCCAACCTCTACCCCATCTACCTGGTTCTGGGCGGCGTTGGGTTACTGGCCTTCCTCGGAGTGGGGATGGTGGCCGCCCGTAAGCGACGCCACGAACACGGGCACCTCTGGCTCCCTGAGGGCTTTAAGACCACGGAGACGAGCAAGAAGAAGAGACGTGAGCCTGTCGGAGAGGATTCAGTCGGATTAAAGTAAGTTTTTATTTATTCAGCGCCGCAGCTCCGTGTCGGCGACGGCGGGCACCTGTTTTATTTTCAGGTCAGGTGAAGGGCTGTGTCTGAAGGACAAAGAACGGGTTAAATGGTGATCAACCAAATTTGAAATAAAAGGGTTTCCCCGGGATCATTAATGATAATGATATAGGTGCTGATTAATTGACTGGTTGGGGCCGAGGGGTGGAGTATATGGATTAAATCAATGCTTTTGTTTTTCTACATTACTGCACTGTTATTGGAGAGGGGCTCAGATGGAGGCAGTAGAGTGCCAGAGTTTTCACCGGGTTTTTTTTTTTTTGCTTTATCGCAGGCCACTGAAAAACACCTCGGACATCTCACTCATGGACGACGCTCAGAACGAATGGGGCGACGACGAGCCCTCGGACGCCAAACGTTTCAGGGTGAGAAGGAAACACATTATTATTATTATTATTATTATTTTATGTCACATTTTTAGTTTCTAGAGTTTTTTTTTTGTCATAACTTTTTAGTTGATTTTTTTTTTTCTAGTTGTCTGAACTCCTTCTCTCACTGTTATTTAGCAGTTTGATGATCAGGCTATACTGGAGACCGACGACCAGACGGACCATCGGCAGTGGACTCAGCAGCACCTGGACGCTGCTGACCTGCGCATCCCCTCCATCGCCCCCACGCCTCCTCAGGGCGAGATCGAGAACAGTTGCATGGATGTCAACGTTCGGGGACCAGGTGAGCGGATCACACTTTCTAAGACAAAAAAATGTATTGAATGTATAACCACACACTGTACATAGATATATGTATATGTATGTATATATATTTGAATTGCTTTTGATGATTTGTTCATCTAAGTAAAATACTTCAGTACATTGGTGTTGGTTCTTTATAAAATATATTTTTTTTAAGTTTAATTTGTTTTGGCTTTAATTTTATTTCCTGTGTAAAAAAAGGAAAAGTGTTTAAAAAAAGCCATTTAAAAAGAGACAGAAACCGGTATGCGTGTGTGTGTGTGTATGTCTGTACCTGGGAAAGCTACCTTATGGGGTCATTTTCTTAGAGAACATGGTTTCGGGGACATTTGTGAGTGTGAGGGTGTTTTGAAATTTTAAAATTCAGTTTTGGATTTCAGATTGAAAAAATGCTCAAATTCATTTTTTTTCTAACATATACTTAGGATAAAGGCTTTAAGGATTCCTTTATGTCTGTGTGTGTGTGTGTGCGCGTGGATTGATTCACATTCCTTCTGTCTTGGAGCTTGTGTAATCGCACGTGTAGGAGTTGCTTAAGCCCCGTATCCTGAGGGTGAAGGATCTTCTTCAAAGCAGTCGACTGGAAGCCTCGGTGCCTGAGGGAAAACACTGATTCCTGATCAGATTAATCATTTGGCCACTAATGGGCCTCTGCTTTTTTTTTTTTAACTCTATATAAACCTAAATGATAGAATCAGATGCTAAATAAAATGTTTTGTTTTTTTTACAAGAAATGTAAAAAAAAACCCCAAAGTATCACGTTAAAGAACTCCTGAGCCCCTTCTCTCTGCTGGGAGCCCGTGCGGTTGAACAGCCCAGTCTTGGAGATCTGGGGTTTGCTGTTCTTTTGAAGAAAAGACAACTGACAGTTCTGCCTCTCACAGTTAGATATGAATGTTTGAGTTCCGCGGCAGCCCGGCTTCAACCCAGCCCAAGCCTCGATCCCTCAGCTTTTCTTTCCCTCTGAAGCTTCTCCTGCGTCGAAGCCTTGATCAGAATCTGTTATTGGAAAAAAAAAAAAAAAAAAAGGCACCGCGATGATTGGGGAGTCAAGTGTCAGATCCACATTCGATTTGTTTGTTGCTTTGGTTTGATGTCTGTGATGCTTTGAAGTGCACACCCTCTTTCCTGTTTGTTGGGAGTGGTCTGTGCTGACGCTGCAGTCCTTTAACTCTCGTGACCCTCCTTCCCCAGATGGATACACTCCCCTGATGATCGCCTCCTGCAGTGGGGGAGGTCTGGAGACGGGCAATAGCGAGGAAGAGGAGGACGCGTCTGCTAGTGTGATCAACGACTTCATTTACCAGGGCGCCAACCTACATAATCAGACCGACCGCACGGGCTTCACCTGGCCGCCCGCTATGCCCGCTCCGACGCCGCCAAACGCCTCCTGGAGGCGAGTGCCGATGCTAACATCCAAGACAACATGGGCCGGACGCCGCTGCACGCCGCTGTGGCTGCTGACGCACAGGGAGTGTTTCAGGTGAGCATCACTGAGCTGGACTTCAATTCAGAAAGTGACCTGTGGTCTGAGAACCACGCGTTTGGAGCGTTATTATAATAAAATCCACAAGATGGAGGCAAAGATAGAGCTTTGGGTTACTGTAGGACTGAAAAGATTACTCTAAATTTTAAATATAATATTAATCACATATATATGCATACATGTATGTTTATATATGTAAATATAATATATACACACATATAAATATATATATACATATATACTTACATTTATATGTATGTTGACTATAATATCAATAATACCAAATTAAATAAGAATTATTGGAAACATTTTTTGATTGAAGTAATTTTTTTTTACTTTTTAGCTAGTTGATTACCAGTAATAAAAAATTAAAAAACATAATTGTGTTTGAAGAAACTTTATCAGAACCAAGTTCCTAATCTGCTCAGAAGAAGAACTTTTTTTTCATCTAAAACATGAATCATATTTTTGCTGATTTGATTTTTCAATTTTTTTAGGATTAAAAACTATTTTGAATGATGTTTCATTTTGAAAAACACTATTTACAAATATATTTTTCATATATTTCTATAGATTCTGATAAGGAACCGTGCCACAGACCTGGACGCTCGTATGCACGATGGCACCACGCCCCTGATCTTGGCTGCCCGGCTGGCAGTAGAGGGCATGGTTGAAGAGCTCATCAACTGTCACGCTGACGTCAATGCTGTCGATGATTTTGGTAAAGTCACCCTGATTTATTAATAGAACTTCAATGAAGCTGAAGTTCAGATGCACTGACGCTGGATTTTTTTTTTAGGTAAATCAGCGTTACACTGGGCGGCAGCTGTGAATAATGTGGAGGCTGCAATTGTGCTGCTGAAGAACGGTGCCAACAAAGACATGCAGAACAACAAGGTATTCACAGCAGTACACGATAATACAATGATAATACGTGTAGGCTGCAGCTACATTATTATGTATTAAAAAATACCATAACACTGAATATAAACGGTGCAGAAAAGAACTGTAAATATTAAAATTCCAGTAAGAAATTTTTAACAAGCTAAAAAATGTGGAATGTAATCAACAGAACATACAGTCAGAATATAAACAGTGTAGAAAATAAAATAGAAAAACAATGGAAATATAAATAAATGTAAATAAAAATAAAATCTAAATAAAAAATCAAAATAATAAGAAAAATAAGGGCTGTCAAAATGAAAAGATAAACAATGTTTAGAATTTTTTCTAATTGATTTTGATGAAATTTTCAATGCATTTTCACGCTGTCTATCTCAGGGGTGGGCTAACGTTTTGTCCAAAATGAGGTTCAAAATTTGACTGGCGGGCTGGTTCATTATTGCTTAGATGTTGAATGATGGGTGAAATAATTTAAATAAATTGTACATGAATACACCCTAAGCTTTCAAAGATAATATGGCTCATTTGATGTCTGCCGCCATCAAGTGGCATCAATAGAAATGACAGTCGATTTGTTGTAATGCATGAAAGAAAGATTGACATCAGTCTTTGTACCGGGATTTGGTGGGTTGGATTAGAAAGCCTAGTGGGCCGAATCTGGCCCACGGGCCATAGTTTGCCCCTGTCTGATCTGCTCAGTTATCACGCAGAAATCTGAATCTAAGACGACAATCTCTCAACCTTGTTGTCTCCTGTCTCCCTGCCGCAGGAGGAAACGCCTCTGTTCTTAGCAGCCAGAGAAGGAAGCTACGAGACCGCCAAAGTTCTACTGGACCACTTTGCCAACAGGGAAATCACGGACCACATGGACCGACTGCCCAGAGACATCGCTCAGGAGAGAATGCATCACGACATTGTGCGACTGATGGACGAGTACAACCTGGTACGAAGTCCTCCCATGCACGGGGGCTCACTTAGCGCCACATTGTCACCCCCTCTCTGTTCGCCCAACGGTTACCTGAGCAACATGAAGCAGCCTCAGGGGCAAAACCAGAGCAAGAAGGCCCGGAAGCTCAGCGCCAAGGGCATCGGCTGTAAGGACGGTAAAGACATGAAGATCAAGAAGAAGAATTCCCAGGACGGGAAGCCCGGGAACCTCCTGGACAGTTCAGCTGTCCTGTCGCCCGTCGACTCTTTGGAGTCTCCGCACGGATATGTCTCCGATGTGGCCTCGCCCCCTATGATGACCTCACCTTTCCAGCAGTCACCCTCTGTATCCTTGAACCATCTGCAGGGAATGTCCGACCCACATCTCCCTGTAAACCACATGGTTATGCCCAACAAGCAGGAATTGGCGCGGATGCAGTTCGACCCGCTTCCTCCCCGCCTCACTCATCTGCCCGTGTCGGGCTCCAGCGGCCAGGGCGCCATAAACGGTCAGTGTGACTGGCTGTCCAGGATGCATGGCAACATGAGCCAACCGGGCCAGTTCAATCCCCTGAGAGGAGGTCCCGGCGGTCAGGTGGGCCTCCACCAGGGGGCTCAGCACGGCATGATGACCTCCCACCACAATGGTATCCCAGCCTCTAGCCTGTCGCAGATGATGACCTACCAGGGCATCCAGAGCACCAGGATGGGGCCACAGTCCCACATCATGCAGCAGCAGATTCAGCAGATACAGAACCTCCAGCAGATCCAACAACAACAACAACAACAACAAAGCCTTCAGCTACAGCATCAGTCCTCAAACAACTCCAACAACCAGAATTTCATCAGCGGCGAGCTGACGTCTCCTGATCCCCAGCAGGGCAGCGGCGGGGGCGGCCCCCGCGGCGGGGGCCGCTCCACCCTCCCCATCCACACCATTTTACCACAGGAAACACAGATCATGCCCACCTCCATCAACCAGTCCATCGCCAGCACGCAGTTCCTCACCCCTCCCTCGCAGCACAGCTACTCAGGCCCCATGGACAACACCCCAAACCATCAAGTCCAGGTGCCTGACCACCCTTTTCTCACCCCGTCCCCAGGCTCTCCCGACCAGTGGTCCAGTTCGTCTCCACATTCCAATCTCTCGGACTGGTCAGAGGGCATTTCTAGCCCCCCCACGAGCATGCAGTCTCAGATCGGGCACATACCTGAACAGTTCAAATAAAAAGACGCCCAGAAAAGCTGCTCCCTATTTTTGACATCACAATAAAGAAAAGGCACTCTTTCTGGGGAAACAGGCCAGAGTTTTTAAAACAATATTATTATTATGTTTGTTTTCATACTAACAGTAACACCTGTTGTCATCTATTCTTTTTTTTTATTTATTAATGTTTTATTTATATGCACTTCCTGCTTGATGAAGAGTGTTGGGTTGTAGCAGGATGCAGACTTTTAGAAAAGTTTTTTGTTTCGTTTTTTTCTGCTTTTTTTAGCACACATTGTCAGTGAAGTCACAGCAAAAACACTGGGTATTTATTTTCTTTCGTCTTTATTTTTTACATATGTTTTTTTCGACCTTTGTTCGTAACGTTTTATCGTTTCGTTCTTATAATCATGTTTATAGAGAAAATCGAGTTTGAGGGGCATTTCATGAAGCTCATTTTATGTCTCAGTGTTATTTTAAACGGTGGCGTAAGTTTGGCAAATATTCTAGACGGCGCTGATGAATGCCGATATTTCACCCACCCCTAACTGTTGTTTTAAAAATTTGTAATTTTTTTTTACGTTCACTCTAGACTTGTGTAAATTTACACAGCATCTAGATCCGATCACCTTCACACGTATGTAGAGATACGATATGTCAGTGATGTGATTATATGATGTACAGTGTAAGAAAAGTAGACCTGTCAGTCTTTCACTGTTGGAAACCCCGGCCCATTGGCCACAGTGTTTGTTTTTGTGCAGAGGGAAAAGGAATCTGAATTTTTTTCCCCAGTCCCTCCTATTAGTTTAAGCCTATGGCTGTGTTCATCCATTTTGTAAATACGTTCCCTCGTAAGCAAGATTTTGTTTAAGAAATCTGATGTCTTAGGCAGTGATGGCACAGATAGAGCGCCTTCGACATATTGAACAGAACAGAATATACACGTAAACATATATAAATATATATTTTCTACTCTCTTTTATGCATACAAAAACTAGACTACGTAAGAATGGATACAAATATATTGTTAGAAGACATTTTTTCGAAGATTACGTTCTGATATGATTTTGCTGTTCTGTTACAAAAAATATCTACTGGGGCATCATCTGTGTATGTTTTTTGGTGTAATTTTATTTTTTGTAGAATTTGAGCAAGTGAAAAAAAACTGTGGCAAAGTTCTCAGCTGTGTCCACGTCAATTGTTTATGGTAAGCTCCCTGGGGTTTTTTTTTTTTTTTTTTTTTGCAGATGTTATAATGAAGAAACAAAATAGGGTTGTAGTGAATATGCAATGTGTTTTCTTCCTTTGAAAAAAAAATTGTGATTTTCAAATTATGTATTTTTAACTTTTAATTTTCTATCTGTAAAGCTGTTCTTAAAAAATAAAGGACACGGTCATGTCTTGAACTCTAAAGCTCTGCCTGCTATTCTTGACATCATCATAAAGGTTACGTTATGGACCAATTTGTTAATTAAGTAACTGTAATTAAGTAACAGTAACTGTATTATAAGCATAAGTTCTTATTTAATTAGATGTAGATAGGATATAAATGTAACAATTTTAATATACATTAGCAAAATATTTTGTCTCCATCTAGTGGTCAAGTGCTAGCAACTACGCCATCCGATCCATAGGGGGTGTCGTGTCCGAGTATCATTTTATGCTCACAGAAGACCAATATATGCTCGTTAGTTAAACGTGGGTTAAAATTACAAATTTGTCGTTAGCTTTCGCGTGTTTTACCAAAGTGTGACATTATTTAAGTGGCACATATTCGAAAAAGTTAGAAAAAAAGAAAAAAAAACGTTTCAACGAGTAAAACACCGAAATAAACACTCTAAATGATGAATGAATGAGTAAAAGAAAAATAGCTGTTTAGCGTACATAATAACAGAAAAAACAATTAGTATTCGTGTCGCTATAGTTTAATCTCTGTAGAACTACAAGTCCCATGATGCACCGGTGGTAACAAGTAAAAGTTCAAAGTTCAAACATTACAGTGGAAATAGGGCTCTCGCTGGCTGACTCCGTACTAATAGACAAAGATAAATACGTCGGCGGACATTGGACTGAGCCGAGTGTCAGAGGGCGTGTAGGAGCGGCAGACGAACCCGAACATGTCCCACGGTTAACGGATACTGTCGCGTTGGTGTCGTTGGATTTACAGGAGGACGGTTATCTGGCGGTTAATGCTAGCACGCTAGCTCTCGCTGAGCAATCAGAGACTACTGCTACTGCTACTTCCACTTTCGTCACTTAACCGCTACTGTTTACACACAGCACTGCAGCTATGTTCGTCCAGGAGGAGAAGATATTCGCCGGCAAGGTGCTGAAAATACACATCTGCACTATGGACGGCACGGAGTGGTTGGAGGAGGTGACGGAAGACACCACGATAGAGAAAGTGAAGGAGAAGTGTTTGAAACATGTAGGTTTAAAAAAAAAAACTGTTTGTGCTTCATTCTGTCATTCCCTTGACCACCGTACCTCCCGAGTCTAAACTGCCAGTGTCGGTGTCACTGAGGTTTGTATTTATAGCATCTGGGGAGGCTCGGCTATTTATAATTTAGCAGGTTGTCTGTTGCTCTAGCTAACAGTCCCCTTTACTGTTCTCACCAAGGCAGGCTGCTTTTCTGCCTGTCTATTATTACACAGCTCCTCTCTCGTCTCCTTCTATGGCCTAGAGCAGCGGTTAACCGCCACTGGACCTGCAGGTAGTTAGCCAGAAGAAATGTGCAGTAAAAGTCAGTAGTCAGTTCAACCGTTAGATTTACTACTAAAGGTTACAGGATATTGATCAGAACAAATATTGTAATTAATTAATTAAATACATACAGAATACGCCCTCTGGTGAAGTATAGGTTCTTGTTCAGAAGTTAAGGAAACAGTGGCCTTCAATCAAACTATTTTTAAACTGGCACCTCTGAAATGTTAGTCAGATTTCAAGTTTTGAATTGATTAGTGATTTTTTCTTTATAATAATTTATCTCCAGCCTCCTGAAGTAGTCTGAAAAACAAAAACCAAATACTATAGGCTTCTGTCTCAGTCAATTACTTTTTGTCTGTTAAAATGAGTTTTCCCAAAAACATGCAATAGCTTTGAAAGAAAAAATTGAATATTACCAGTAGTAGAACTTGTCGTTGGATGCCACATGTTCCCTAAAAATGGAGTAAAGTGATGTATTTTTTATATATATAATTTCTAAACCTTGAATGAAATACCCTATGTTGTGCTTGTTTTACAGTATGTACATGGAAGTCTAGAAGACCCTAAAACACTCACACACCACAAACTCATACACACAGCCACAGAAAGAGTTCTCACTGACACCAAAACTGTTGCTGAGGAAAACATTAAAAATAAAGGTAGGTACCTGGTATATTTGTGTGTATCTAAAAGTCTGTTTATCTTTATGTACGTGTGTATTTATGTGTATACAGTTATATGTATATATGTGTGTATATATTTGTGTATGTAATATATACACACGTGTATATATACTGCATGGGTATATATGTGTGTGTATATAATATATACATATATGTATATATGTGTGTAAATATACTATGGATGGGTTATATATATATATAT